CTTCCATTATTAGCTTGTTGAATATATGGGTTTTTTTCCAGTAGTGTTCCATTTTTATTCCTTCCTCTTTCCTTTTTATATATTCTTTATTTTCTTAGTGGTTACTTTGGGGATTGCAAAGAACATCTTAAACTTATGATAATCTAACTTAAATGATACAAACTTAGTTTCAATTGTATACAAACACTGTATTCTGATATATCTCTATTTCTCCTAGTGTTGTCACAGATTCTGTTTTTATACATTGTGTGCCCATTAATGTAATTATTAGTTTATGCATTTGACTTCTAAGTCATCTATGAAAAAAAGGGAGTTATAGTCCAAAAATACCACAGTGGCTTTTATTTTTACTTAAATAGTTCCATTTTTTTTAATGGCTTTCTGTTTCTCTTAGGTTCTTTCATTTTAGTCCCAAAGGCTACATTTAGTGTTTGTTTCTTGTAGGGCAGGTCTCATAGTAACAAACTGTTTTAGTGTATTTGTCACCTTATCATTGCTGGGACAAAATACCAGATATACATAACTTAAAGGAGAAGAGTCTTGGCTTTGGTTCACAATCTCAGAAGTTTCAGTCCGTGGTGCTCTCTCTCCGAGGCTCTCTACAGCATGGCGGATCAGCACAGTGGAAGAAAACTGCTCATTTCATTGCAGCCGGGAAGCATAGTGAAAGGAAAGAGCCTAAGAAAAGATGTCTCTTTTGAAGGCATGTGCCTAGCAACCTGCCTCCCCTTACAGCCTCCACCTGCTCCTAGCCCATTCATCTCTGAACTCATCGATGCATCTGTGGGGTTAAGGTTAAGGTTAACATCTTCACAGTCCTGTCACCTCTCCAGGTATCTCTTAATCCAATCCAGTTGAGAGTCAAAATTAATCATCAAACTTACTTTTTTTTTTAATCTGGAAATGTCTTAATTTCTCCTTCATATTTTAGAACTTTTTTGCCAGAAAAATGTTTTGTTTACTTTTCTTTTCTTTTCTTTTCAGTAGGGGTTGAACTCAGGACCTTATCACTGAGCTACATACCAAACTCTTTTCATTTTTTTTTTTTGTTACAGGACCTCACTAAGTCCAGGTCACCCAGGCTGGGCTCCAACTTGAAATCTTCCTGTCTCAACCATCCAGAGTGCTGGGATTACAGGTGTGCACCATCATGCCCGGCCTCCTTGATTTTTAATGAGAAATTCATGCTCATTTATTGAGCTCTCCTTACATATGACAATTAGCTTCTCTATTACTGTTTTTAAGTTTCTGTGTCTTGATATTTTGATAATATAATCATAATGTGTCTTAATGTACATGTTTGAGTGTATCCAGCTTAGAGTTCATTTTGTGTCTTGGATATGTATATCATATTTTTCATTAAACTGGGGGTGATTTGGGCCATTATTTCTATTTTTTTCTGTTATCCCTGCCCTTTCTCTTTACTTCTCTTTGTGGAAATCTTTTGATGTATGTGTTGCATGATGTCTCTCATAGGCCTTGCAGGCTTAGTTGATTTCTATTTGTTCTTTTGAATTTTTCTCCTCATAATGGATGATTTAAGTTTTCTGAACATCAACTTCACTGATTATGCTCAAACCTGTCAGTGAACCTCTCTAGTAAAAATTTCATTGTTATCATTATTCTTTTCAGCTCTAGAATTTCTAATTTATCGCCTCTCAATTATTTCTTTATTTTCATTCCCTATTTGTTCGTGCATGGTTCTCCTGACTTCCTTCGGATCTTTTTATAGTTTCTTTTGGCTCAATGGACATACTGACCACAGTTGTTTTAATGGCTTTAACTAGAAATTCTAATGCCTGGGCTTTCTTAGGCATGCTTTTTGTCAAATTCCTTCTTCCCCATGAATAGACTATACTTTCCTGTTTATTTATATGCTTTATAGGTTTTTTTGTTGCTGTTGTTGAGAAGTGGACATTTTCAAGTCGTATCTTAACTCTGGAAATTAGAGTCTCTCCCTCCACAGAACTTCTTAACTTTTTGGTGGGTGGTGGTACTGGGAATTGAACTCAGGACCTTGTGTTTGCAAGGCAGGCTCAGTGCCACCGAGCTAAATCCCCAGCCCCAGAACTTCCTAATTTTTGTTTCTTAGGGTTTTCAGTTGTCTCTATTTAGTGACTTTTCCAAACTTTCTCACAACATGTGTATGACGTATTGTTTGTGGTTGCTCATAGTTTTTTAATACCTGAAGTTATCCAATGACCTCACAAAGATTTCTTTTCATTCCAAAGAGAGCAAAAATCCAACAAGGGATACACAGAAGAATGACACAGATGTCACAATAACATCTCGGCACAGCCTTGAGGGAAGAGTAGTAACTGCCAAGTTGGCCTGAAGTAGAAAGACTTTGAGGTTTGGATGTGACTTGGCACTGCAGGGAGAAGTTGGGGACAACAGGTGCTTGCTGGAGGGGAAAGCAGAGCAAGTGCCTAAGGCCATGATCAGCAACAACAATCAAGATAATGAGGTCCTGGGGTAGCTACTGGTGTCCCCAGAAGCCCACAAAACTTTGGAGAAGGACAGCTCTGGTGGGAGGATGTGAGGGCTGGAGTGTTGCGTCTGAGGTGTTCCAGGTGTTCAAGAAAAGCTACTGAGTAGGCATGTGGAGGTGAGCATCCACAAGTTCAGTCAAAGGAAAACCAGCCAGGAAGGATTGGAAGGAGGTGACAGGACCCACGCAGATACGGGTTCCAGGCACAGGTGGGTAGGTGGATATTTGGGAATTATTGGTTGTCTATGAGCAGATGAGTGGGACCAGCTGGGACCTTTAAGAGGTGATTAGGTCATGATGTGGGTCTCATAAAAGCAGTCTGGCTCTATCTCTTAGGTTACAGTATTTGTGCAATGTGGTACCCTATGCTGCCTCCAGACTCTGCAGAGGGTCCTCACCAGCAAGAAGGGCCTTACCAGATACAACCGTGCAACTCACTGACCTTGGACCTTTGAAACTCCAGAACTGTGAGCAAAATAAACCTTATTCTTCCCCAACCCAACTTGAGACAGGGTGTTGTTATGTAGGTTTTGTTTTGTTTGTTTTTTGAGACAGGGTCTCATGATGTAGTTGAGACTGACCTGGAACTTGCTATGTAGCCCAGGCTGGTCTCGAACTCACAGCGATCTTCCTACCTCAGCCTCCTGAGTGCTGGGATTATAGGGGGTGCGCCACCACACCCAGCTCATTATGTAGTTTAACTGGTCTTGAACTCGCTATGTATCCCAGGCTTGCCTCAAACTCCTGCCTCAGCCTCCTATGTGCTGGGATTAGAGGCATTCACCAACAAGTCCAACCTTTTTATTTGTTTTGAGACAGAGTCATACTACATAGTTTAAACTAACCTTGAATTTGATAATTCTATGTATCCTAGGCTGGTCTCAAACTCATGATCTTCCTGCCTCAGCCTCATGAGTGCTAAAAGTGTGATGGGTACCACCACACCATACAGAGCCTTAATTCTTTATTGTAACTTACCCAGTAAACCAAAAGAGCTGAGTCTCCCGGTGTATCGTACCAGGTCTCATGGGGTTGGGATGGGGGTGTGAAAGTGGGCTTAGTGCAGGATAACATTCTTCCCCTGGGACGTGCCTGGGTTCATATAGCATTTCTCCTTTTGTTCTGCCGCCATCCTGTCACCGTGCCTATTCTTCTGGGAAGAATCAGCAAATTCCAGCTTCCTGTCTCTAGGACTTTGGATCAGAAGGGGACATGATTATCTGTAAGTGGTTTGCTTCCTTCTGAGACTGAGAAAGCCTTAATAAATCTGGATGTTTCCCATCTGCGTCCTTCAGACTGGAGCAAAGCAAGCTTTTAATTTATAATACATCTCAAGCAATCATTTGGGAAGTAGATATCTCCTGAGGCTAGTTGCTGGGAAGCAAACATAACTGGGAAAAGGGCAACCTGAGGCTGCTCTTAGTAGTGACTCGTTTTCCCTGTCTGGTCCTACGGGGGTGGAGTTAATCTTTGCCCACCTCGGGGTTGCTGAATAACAGGCGCAGTTAGATTTGCAGTCAGAGTGTTCCTGGCAGCAGCCACTCACTCGTAACACTCTGGATGGGCTACATTTTTGGCTAAACTCCAAATGCTTGGCAAAGCCTTGAGTTGTGTCCCTTGAGCAGAGAAGTGAGTTGGGCAGGGCGCGTGGCCAGGCTCCGTACGCTGATCTAACCTAGGCTCTGAAAGAATCCAAACAAAACTAGAGGTGTCACTGTCACCCTGGGGCCAGATTGACAGCTGAATCCAACTTTGACCATTAAGTGGCTGCATAGACAGATGGCTCCGTTCCCTTAACTGAGATGAGAGATCTCCTACCTCACACGGTCACTTTGAGCATAAAAGGGAGTGTGGGCAGAGAAGTGACAGGAGGTCCTCAGGACTGGACAGCATTGGGTTCCCCATCCAAACGTTCTCGGCAGACCAGAGGGGCCACATAAATGGCCTGGTAGCAGGACTGCACCCCTCAATGGGCTAGGAAAAGAGCAGAAATGTTGGCAACAGGACTTTCTGTGTATCGTGGGGACATTTCTGAGACTGGCACTCCATCCCTGGAGATGAACTGTGATGCAAGAGTCACCATCCCAGGTCCACGTCGGTCCCTTCACAGTCTGATGACCACAGATGACAAAGTTACCTTCCAACAATGCCCCCCACCCCTGAGGGGAGGCACCTGTCCCAGCACCCAGGTATCATCTACAAACCAAATACAGGCCAAACTACCTGTTAGGTGACACAGCCTTTCTTTCTGGAACTATTTGGGATTCCTTTAAAGGTACTCCACTCACTTTATTGTCTCCCTCAGACCCTGTGGGATTTAGGAGGTTCCCCTCCCGCTCTGACTCCCAGCATACCCCCATCTCCTTTGCCCTAGGATTTGCTCCTCACGAAAGGGCAAGAAGTTGAAACTGCCCTTTGAAGCAGTCACTTTGCACGCAGCCACATCATGGACTACAGATACCAGCGTCTCTCACTCAGTTTAATGATCAATTAATTCCCGGCCAGAAAGCCCTTTCTGACCTGGCTCGTCCTCAGACACTCGGGCTCAGAGCTGGTGAATGCTGCAGGATAATGGCTTACAACTCCACTGGGGACCTCCACGCTCCAGGGCCGCAGCTGAGTGTGACTGACATTGTGGTCATCGCCATCTATTTTGCCCTGAACGTGGCCGTGGGTATATGGGTGAGACAACTTGGGTGGCAGCTAACTGGGCTCTCGGGGTGGGCACTCGAGATGGGAACCAGGGTCCAGCACGTTCCTCAGACACCTGTATCAGTTCCACCTGATGGCCCTCCTCCTGAACCATAGAATCACGGAGATTCTATGGCTGTTCCCCAGCGCCGCTGGATCCAAATCCAGAGGCAGGGAGGGCCACACAGAACTCGGATTCTTTATTTTTATCAAGCTAGCCCTTAGTTCATAAGCCTGTTCATTCTCCTTGGATAGGAGATGTCATTTGACTCAAATGGTAGCAGCCCCTTCCCCACACCCCATCCTTCCCACGGGAAAGGGCAGCCTCATACATAGATGAAAAAGCAAAGGCTGCCAGAGGATCCCTGCACAGTGGGCAGCAATTCTTCAGTATACACCTGATACCAGGCTTTACGGTACTAAGCGTGGGAAGATGGATGGGAGATTCCCTTTTTGCCTTCTGAGTCCTGGAGGTCCCTAGGTGGTATTCTTGGGCCCCAATGTCCTCCTGAGGAGAACAGGTGTCTATTCTTACCTTCGGAGAGTCCAGGCAATGGGTGACAGGTCAGATCTCCTCAGCTTTCTGGGCTTTAGTGTTTTGATCTATAAGATGGCCGTACCACTCACCTCTCAGGTTGAGGTCTCCTACGAAAGGGGCCTGCAGAGGACCGGGCCTTGCTGTTGCCACAGTACCTCTCCTGGTAGAGTGCTGGTAGGCGTGGTTGTGGAAAGGGTGGTTATAGGGGTGGTTGTTGGTGGTTGGAGTGGTGGATGGTAATGGTGGTGGTGGTTAGAATAGTAGAGGTAGTGTTGGTAGCAGCAGCAGTAATTGAAATGAACTGTGATGCACTTAAATATAAAATTACAAGTGCTGGTCATCAGCAAAGCTGGCTCTGCTGTATGTACCGACCTCACTGTAGTGTACTTTGAGTGTTTTACAAATTGAAGGGTGTGGCAATCCTAGGTTTGAGCCAATCTAGTAGGGTCATTTTCTGGACAGCATGTGCTAAATGTATCTTCAAGTCACATTTGGGCCATACCTGCAATATTTCAAACTTTTTTGTTACTATTATGCCTGTTGTGGTGTTCTGCTACCAGGGATCTTTATGTTCTATCGTCACCATGTAGGGGCACCACACCCTGTCCATATAATATAGTGAACGTGGCGGACTATACTGTGGATTCTCACTGTCCCTCTGCCCAGCTGCTTCCTCTTTCTCTCCCTCTCCTCCGAATTTCCTGAGGTAAAACACTGAAATGAGGCTAATTATTAACCCTACAGTGGCCTCCAAGTGTTCAAGTGAAAAAAAGAGTCACACGTCTTTCGTTTTAAATCAAAAAGCTAGAAATGATTAAACTCAGTGAGGAAGGCATGTGGAGAGCAGAGGTATGTTAGAGGCTAAGTCTCTCGTGTCAAACAATTACCCAAATGGTGACTGCTGTGGAAAATTCTTAAAGTAAATTAAAAGTGCTACTCTAGTGAACACAGAAAGCAAAACAGCCTCATTAGTGAAATAAAGTTTCAGTGGCCTGGGTAGAAGAACAAGTGAACCACAACATCCCCTTAAGCCCAAGACTAACCTAGAGAAAGATTGTAGCTGTCTACAACTCTGAAGGCTGAGATAGGCAAGGAAGTTTCAGAAGAAGAGCCTGGAGACAGCAGAGGATGTTTAATGCAGAATAAGAAGTTGTCCCTACAACATCCAAGTGCAAGGGGGAACAGCAAATGCAGATGAAGGGGCTGTGGTCGTCACCCCAAAGGTCCAGCTGAGATCTCTGATTACCGTGGCTGCACGGAACAGCAGGTTTTCCGTGTAGACGGAAAGGCCTTATGTTGGAAGAAGATGCCACCTGACACTTTCATAGTTAGAGAGGAGCCAACACCCAGCTTCAAAGGACGGGCTAATGGCAGCTGGTAACCTTAAATTTAAGCCAAGGAGCACTTATCATCCTGACAATCCTGGAGCCCTTAGGAATGATATAAATCTACTCTGTGTCTGTAAATGGAACTGGCCTGGATAACACACATCTGTCTAATAAATATTTAGAAAAGCAAAACAGTCTCATTACTGAAATAAAGTTTCAGTGGTCTAGATAGAACAAACCAGCCACAACATTCCCCTAAGCCAAAGACTACTATTTTTTTTTGTTTCGTTTTGTTTTTTTTTTTTTTTTTT